CCCTAGCTTGACTCCCCATACAAACTTTTATCCCCATTTTCACCCCCTTAAGGGATGATTTCCTTCCCAGGGTCTCAAACTATCTTCTTACCAAATTTTATTTAATCGGTTCAGTAGATCCAGAGATTACCCCCTACAACGTCACAAACTCACAAACTTTACCTCTTTATAATATTAGTATAGATATAAATTATGCAATAGTTAACAAGTTACAATAAAACAGATCCAGACAAATTGTGGCTTTATATACTTAATCATACATTTAAATTAATTGCTTTATCGTTTAGCTTGTTAGTGTTGCTCCAGCTATTTGTCATTGTTAGAAGATAAATAGCTTTAGACTGTGATTGGTTCCTGCTCTTATTATGTGATACAATAATATAATAATATGGAGTTTTGTTGATGATGAATTATTTAATATAGGTACTTATGACTATATAGGTAAGCGGAAATCGAACCTGCTCTGTAATTAAGAGACATTTGTTTGTTTGTATGTCGATTGAAAATATAAAAGAATTATTATTTTCTTTCACTAATTGGCTTTTTCCAGTCGCTTTCTAGCGACTCTATCCTTAGTATAAACTTTTGGGGTATTTTTAATTATACGTTAAATTGCCTAATACAGTATTTTAAGATGTAAAAGTTATGGAAATTTATTTATTAGTAGATATTATTAAAATAATGTGTAACATTCATACAAAATACTTAAAGTATTTAAGAAAACTGTTATTATTTATGTTTTTATTTCAGTAGATTTTCTAAGAAGTCCATACTAATATTATAAAAGTGAAAGATTGTGAGTATGGATGTTTGTTACTCTTTCACGCAAAAATCACTGAATGGATTTTAATGAAACTTTACAGTAATATAGCTCATAGTTCGGAATAACACATAGGTTCCCGTGGGATAGATTTGTAATAAGTAGTAATGATGCCAATTCTAACATAATGTGTATACAATTTTAAAATCTTTCGGTAGTTTACCCTTAGTCTTAAATATGGGAATATTTTTTATTCATTTCCATATATTCCCTCGGAAATATCAAAGAGTTACTATTGGTAGAGCTCTCTCTTTCCATGTAAATAAGTATACTCTTTGATATCAGATTTCATCCAAAAGTTTCAGCCGTTTTAATGTGGATTCGTAACAAACTTACATACAAATTTTTGCTTTCATTTGTATTGTATGTATTTATAGTAGTAGAGGCGATAAAAGGTGCTAAATTTTGTTTTGAAAATACGATGTTAATAAAAAATGTAATAGAAGTACCAATATTTTTATGATATTACTATATAAATAAACAGAAAGACAAACAAGCTGATTAAATATTGATAGATACTAGTTATCTACAATAAATAATGGCAGCGATTATTTAAATGCAAGCTTTTATTATTCATTCAAATTAATTGTATAATATGGCTGGTGCTTGTTAATGTTTACTTAGTAATTTGTCAGTGTTCGCTACTTAGGGTACCTAGAATGGAAGTGAGATATTATGTTTCGTAAAGTAATATTAGGAAAGCTCTTTTGTAACTTGTTGTAGAATAATTATTATTCATATAAATTATCAAAAATAATTTTTTTTTTAATAAATTTCAGTTTAAATAAAACTATCTTTTCGGATTTTTTCGCCAATTTATTTTGATTTTTGGTTGTGACGTTTCGAATGCTTTACAGCAATCATGGTTACAGGAGAGACTAAAGTTTATGATGTCTCCTACAAAGGCATTATATTGTTGTTATAGACAACCTACCCACAAAATAACAAAATTTTAGTTCATTTTATTGTTTGTTTTAGACTTGTAGGAAAAACATTGTAACTGTTTTGATATAGTTTAAAAAGAAAATTTAAAATTTACTAATAAACTGAGTTACAGTTTTATTCCTTGCATCTTTATATATATAATTCTTCTGTGAGTGTGTATGTCACTGAACTTCTCTCAAACGACTGGACCGATTTTGATGAAATTTTTTGTGTGTGTTCAAGGGGATCTGGAAATGGTTTAAATTCACAATTTGAATAATAATTTTCATCAAAAAAAATATTAAAAAAAGTTTGAAATTTTCAAATTAAAGACGTGTAGACAGGACAACGTCTGTCGGGACCGCTAGTGTATCTATATAGGTAGAGCGAGAAAGATGAATGAATGCATAAATTATAAATTATAGTTCACCACAAATATTAAGAAAAAACTATATAAAAGCTCGCATATAATATGACGTAATATTTTGTAAGTCATGAAGGAGCTTTAAGCTCAGAAGATTCTCAACTGATAAACAAAACTTTTAATTAGAAGGCAAAAAGTCTGTTTTAAATAACGAGGAGTCATACTTATTTAGTAACAATACAGTACTGAAAATATGATATTGGAATTATTTCCAATATAATTATTGGCACCAACAAACAGCTAGACCTACTTTACTATATACCTATACACTAAATATAAGTATAGTAAATTCTTTAAATAAATATCTAAACTAAATCATTCAATGTAGAGTATCTATCTTAGAAGCTCACCTACTTTATCTACTAAAATCCCACTATAAGATGTACCTACCTAATGATTTTCTTAGATAAGGAAAACGCTTTAAGCAATTGCATGAAAATATCTTAATTATATAGGTTATTAGTCGCTTTTTGATGCACAAAAATTTAAAATTTGATTAAAGCCGATGTCAATATTATTTAAAAAACTTTAATATATTATAGAGCGAAGATCTAATTGTGCATATTGTTAAAATGATAATTAATTATGGCTGAGAAAATTGATTGTGATTAACTGCTAACTCGTAGGCTTTTACCCACCAAGGGGCCACATAACACAGAAATGGAAAAAGAAATAATTTATAAAGGATGAATATTAAAAATTGTTATGGGAAAAATAAAGCTATAATAATAATAAACTGCTAACTCGTATTGATCAATGGTTGGATGTTTGACCGTAATCATTATTGAAAATTTGAGGAAAACATATCTATACAGATAAATAAAATTGAAGTGTCTGTTTGTAATGTCAAAATAACAGCGTTTTACTTTATTGCATATGAAATTATATACGGTACTTATAAGAAAAATACAATTTTTAAAATTTTTGTCTGTCTGTTTGTTCCGGATAATCTTTAAAATAGCTGGACTGGTTTTGACGGGACTTTCACTGGAAGATAGCTGATGTTATAGGGAGTAATATAGGCTACTTTTATATTAGAAAAAGTATTATTGTTTCACTCAAAAAAATTAAACGTACCTAGGGACGAATCCGAGCGAAGTGAGGGTGAGTCGCTAGTAGGTAATATGAACTTACAAAACTTTTTTTATTGATAACGCAAAAGCTCGACAAAGCTACTAAACTAAAAAAAGAAAATCGGTTAATAAATAGATGAGAAAAAGGTATTGAACTGTTTTGTCTTTGCCTATTTATACATACATTATGATCTACACATAACAATATAATATGAAACCTCTTTAGGTAATAGGTAAGTATTTTTGTAAATCTTAAAAGTTTTATTATAATTTACATCAAAATAATGTGTCAGTAAAGGAGAATTGGTGGACCACTTCGGTGAGCGGTGTACCATGCGGGTTGCTTCTGGTACTTTTCTGATAGCAGAGTGGATTGGGAAGCAACCCCATGGTTGTTGTGGTCTGCTTCGGCAGACCTGCCGTCGGGGCGTTATGGTTGAGTGCGTAAGCGATCCTGCGACGCCCCATTAAGACGGGTAGGTTTTTTTGGGTTTATAGGGTAGTACTGGGTTTTCTAGCCGATAAGGCCTACCTGTACCTGTGCATACAGGTGTTATGCGTACCTTAATGCATTTCCCAACATTAAAAAGTGGAGATGTAGAGATTATGTAAAGCTAGATAGACTAAAGTTGGTTTTTGGAATTGGTAACTTTGATTATCACTAAAAATTTAATTTAATTTGTGGGTTTATAGTATGAACAAAAATCATATAATTAAAATTTTATTATTGTCTTTAAAAATATATTTTTATATAAATTTTTCATTAAATATCTATGTTTCAATTTTATTTTTAACAATTAGATAAGTAAGTAGATATTATATAAAAGTAAAAGAAAATTATCAACAAATTAGGGGAAATGTTATATAAAATATGAACATTAATAAAAAAAGCAAATACTAGTTAAGAAAAAGTACACTGAAATGAAATTTAAGTACAAATTACTTATTACAAAACGCAACTTTGTAATTTTACAATCTTTACAACGTTGTAAAACAAAAATCAATCATTGCTTTATTGAAAACAATTTTAATTAAAAAATCAAGCTATTTACCAAACACTGTTTAGTTTATAAATGCATAAAATACCCATGAAGTTATGTAGGTACTATTTTATTGAATTCCGAATCAACAGTGACACGATCAATATCGATAAAAATAATTAAACACAGAACAAATCTACGATTTCGTGCTGAATCGATTATACATCACTCGAAAACTGAAAAACTTTATCTCGAGACATTAAGCTAATAAAGCATCGGAGTTAATTAAAGATCGCTGGACGCGACCGGCTTCGACGGACCAAAAAAGAGTATAGAAACTCGCTAACCTGCCCAATCGGTGCCTTAATTGATTCTAACCCAGCTAAATTCAAGAGTCTCTCCACCCGGTTAACACCCAACGAGTTTGAGGCGTTTCGCCATCTGGCTGGGTGAAAATCACAAGTCTGGAACTGTACCCACCCACTGAGGAAGTTTCCAAATTCAAATTCCACCCCTGTTAATCGATCAACCAATCGGCATCGAGTAAGCTGTATAATAAACGTGCTTGTGTGAATAAACACCTCCCATTGGGTGATATCAACCAATCGAGCGGCGGGAGTCCATGTTCGATGTTTTTTTTTCCGTTATCCAGGCGTAGAGCGCTTAAGGCTCATTCGGCCGCGCGCCGCCGAGGCGTTCGTATCTCGCGTCACGATGGATTGTGCTTGTGACATGTGCTATTGATTTTGTGTTTTGTGACGGAACCGTTGTGTGAAAGCATGATGCCTCTCGCACCGACTCCTGTGGTGGCGGTGCCATCTAAGCCGAAGATCGGATTTAGTATAGACAGTATAGTGGGTGGTTCTGAGAGACCGAAGCAGGCGTCACCTCCGTTGGCGAGTCCAGGGTCGCCCTCCCCTGTGGCGTCCCCTCGAAGTCCTTCCCCCAGACCCTTGTTACGACCGAGTGCGTTACCAGCGGTGTTTCCAACTCCTGAACTGAAGAGGCTACCATATCTCGATGCTCAGAGCCACCACCACCAGTTCCTGGCTCACTTCCAAGGGGCAGCACTGGCGGCTGCGCTTGCACATCAGCAGCAAGGCTTTGGAGCTCCCCTACCTCCCCATCCACCCCCTCATCCTGCTGCACCAGTACCGAGAGAGTCGTACCAGCTCTACCCCTGGCTTATCAACAGACATGGACGAATATTTCCACACCGGTTTCCAGGAGGTAGGTGTTTAGTTACATACTTACTGAAAGTTATATCTGTTGAATTTGATGAGAAACTTAACAGATTAAGTAACTGTGCTATTAGAGCTTTTATATTACCGTCGCTACTGTAAACTTTTTGACGCTAGCTTTTAAAAGTTACGTCCGCCAAGTATTTGTTAAAGATACTAAATATCCGATAGATTATGTGATATGTTTATATCATACAAAAGAAATTAACATAATCTTGTTGGTCTTCATCAGCTGTCAAATAATTTTAATAATAAACGATTTCAGTAAGCTCTAAGTATGCTTTGACGTTTGTGGTTTTTTTGTTCATAAATTTAAAGTGAGAAGGATGTTTAATTTTAATATACCGAATTGTAATCATTGTTGACATCTTAATTACGATTAAGAAATTGGCACTAATTTTTTTCACATAAAGGAAAATTAATTGATTTTTTTAATATTGACTAAGATGATATCGTGTTTGGGGATTCCATGTTTGCTTCTATTTATAATACTTGAAGCGCTACATTTTGTTATATATATTATAGTTTGTTTTTTTAAATTGTTTAACTTTTATATTTAGGAATATTGGAAATGCTGATATTAATTTACAAAGAGTTTTTTTTTAATTTACTCGAAGGTTTCTCTCAATCTGTGCGCCGAGCCGCCGCTTATAACAATCCGTCTACTTTTACAACAATTACATGATAGTATATTCTGTTTTTAAATAATGTTGAGTGACAATGTTTCGATATACGTCAAAATGAAATAATAAGTGTTAAAATAAAATAAGAACGTATGATTTTTAACAGTTGTCTAGTTTATAATTTTACAAAATAAAAACAATACAATTTTCAATTTTGTCTATAAAATATTGGAAATTTATTAATATATGTTGTCTTAATTGATAATAATTTAAAAAGTTTTCAATAAAAAAAAGACATAAACACCTTGTATGGCTACATTGGTATTAATTTTAAGTAGATTTAAATGTATACAGCTTTGATTAATAATATAATCTGTGTAATACCTATATTCTTGTAACTATTACATGCAGTAATTACTAACGTATTTTTTAACCGTCATGTTTTATACTTATTATATTTTTTTTTTCTTGTTTTTATTTTATTTTATTATTAACTAGTTACTTGCCCCCGCTTCGCTCGGGTGCGACCCTACTCCCTAGGTACGTGCACATAGCGTTGCTACTGTTTAATAAGAAGATCTTTTTAAGAGGAATAATTCTGTAATACATTGTTTTCATTTAGGTAACTTTATTAGTTTACGCGGCACACGCCAGTAAAGCTCCCTATCGGCATGATTTTTTTCCGACATCTTTAACAATCATCGTCACAATTCAGTCAGTTCACATAAAACCTTCATTAATTATACACTTAAATCTTTTTAAAGAATCACTCCATCTATTGGTGAAAACGGTATGAAAATCGGTTCAGTAGTTTTTGAATTTATCGTGTTCAGACAGACAGACGCGGCGGGGGACTATATTTTATAATATGTTGTGATAATTATTTTTTTATATAAATGTAATCATTTAGTATAGCTGGCTTTAATAATCTTATTGATATGTTTATTAAAATTGTTAGACTTTTTGGCTATCTATACGTACCTATATGTCTATACTATATAGAGTTTAAAGGTAAGTACATAATATAGGGATATACAAATGTTTGTTTTTTTTTAAGTTAAAAGCGCTATTTTTAGTCCATTTATTAATTTTATTTTTAGCCTATATATTGAGAAAGATATATTATATAGGCCATCTACTATCTTTAGAATTATAAAAAAAAATGTGCAGGCGGAGTTGAGGAAAATCGCTCGTGATATATAAAGTTAGACTCGCTCTTGACATACGAATAACTATGTTTGTAAATAGAGTAGAGAAGAGTTTGTATAGAAAGTAGAAATTAGTTGAAAACTTAGCGAAGCTGTCAAAATGTTTAAGTGCATGCAAAATTATGATTTTTTTAATATATAATTACGTATAATTATGTCTATATATTTCTTTTATATAAATAAAAACTATAACAGTAGGTAGGTACAACTATAATAACACTTACAGAAGTATATGACAGCACGAAAGTATTAAGTTATTATGAACAGGCTTTAAGCCCTTATCAAAAACTTGTCACTGTTCACTAAATAATATATTGAATTACAAAAAAGAGTAGCTTATCCGCAACAAGGCTATTAAGATAAATAAGTTCTCTTAAAAAAGTTTTTATCAAAAAACATTTGTGATCGTTGTACAACGATAAAAGAAAGTCAAGATTACGCGGGAAGCGCTCGTTCTTTTTTTGAACATTTGACATTTGCTTTAGTCTGTTATTTTTAAGCGGGAAAAATGATATAGATAAAAAATGAATATTTTTTAATAAATAATGATGTCTTAAATATGTAGTATTAGCTTAAGTTTAAAAATAAATTTTAAGGAAAATACGACTATGGTTTTAATGGAATGAATGATGAATGAAATTAATATTTTCAAAGTAACTACTATAGCAAGGTATTTATAAACCCTATACGAGAATATCTTAGATATGGGTACTAATAAGTAATTTTTTATATTTTTCTGATAGAAATGTAACTGCTGCAACAACTTAACTAGATCTAACCCAGTAGGTAATTATTATTAATGTTAATGTAAATCAATTAAAAGTTTCAACATGATGTAGACGTTATTAGTTCAGCATTTCTAAGCGACGCGACGGCCTAATATAGAAACAACTAAGATCAAATAAATCATTAAAATAGAACGAAAATGTTTATTTACGAGACTTCAAAATTTTTATCTCTTAATTCTTAGTTAATATGTTTAAATCAATGCCTCTACTATTAATTGCTGCGATAGTCACGTAATTTACTAAGGTCGCTAGCGAGTATACGATAATGTAGATAAAAGCTTTCGAATAACTAAGAGTATGACCAATTTGTTCGCTAGCGAGTATCGAGCTTGTAATTTATGGTCACATAGAGTTATGTAGTACACACACCTTTAATGTAAATATAATATATCTAAAATCTATTCGAATATTTCTTGCTTAGTTTTATCAAGTATAGTATGACATTATGATCTGTGGTTTTATCTGAGATAAAATTTGGTGTAGGAACTCAATTAATTGGATGAAATAAATATTTTGTAGGTATATTTGTTTAAAATAATTATAAATCACGAAAGAGTTTTTAGTTTATAGGGACTTATTAGAGTCCACTTACTTTCCTATTGCATTTGACTAATGTCTATGGCAGCGATCTATATCCGTTTTGAGATTGATCTGAGATATTATTAAGATAATTAATAACCGATTACAATATTAAGCTCGAGCGGTATTCGAACCAGTAGCCTGTAATGTACCTATAGATAGCTATAGATATTGACCTGACCTATATAAAATACTTGTATTCAGCTCTTTTTAACGTCCCACTGCTATGCCTGCCTTCAGTATGAGGGGAACCAGACCATAGTCCACCACGCTGGCCAAGTGTGGGATGGCGGCGGACATGTCTTCACATGTCTTTCGAAAACTTATTAGGTTTTCTCAGATACGCAGGTTTTCTCACAATGTTTTCCTACACCGTAAGACAAGTGGTAATCATGTTGGAAATGATTCGTACATGAAAATATCAGAGGTGCGAGACCCGGGATTTGAACCCGCTTCACTCGGTTTCCCGGGCGAACGAACGGCTAAGCGAACGGGTTACCATTGGGCTACCTGGTCCTTTTAAATACTTAATATAACTATAAAAAACTTAATAGTTCTATATTCTTCTATGTAAGTACGTTTGCTCATGTCGATGTCATTCAGGGATAGAGAGTTTTTCTATTCTTATAAAAAATAGAATCGGTCGCTTTTGTACGTTTACAGATCATTGCCTAAGTACAAATATACGAAAATAAACGTTTGATTAAATTGTAGTGTAAGTATGAAGAAAGTACAATTAAATAAAAGCTGACCTGCTGACCTTCCAAAATTTTAAACTTCCCTAATATTTGTCGCGAACGCAGTATCTAACTTCCCTAATATTTGTCGCGAACGCAGTATCTATAAAAATATATTTTAAACATATATGTGTTATGCTTGCTACACGGGTATCTATATATTTTTATTCCAATATTGCCTTAGGTAATAAGTGCTTTTTAAATTATTACTAATATTTTATTTTTACTAACAGTTTGCCCCTAATCACACTTTAAAAGATTCGAAGTTCTAACAGTTCCAATCGATACACAATTTTCGTCGCTGTGTATCCATTTCTACTTATAGCACCTTAAGTTTATATGAGTGGATAACGATAATTATTTTATAGTTTATCAGCACTAAACTTAGTTTTGATGTAGGTAAAGCTTGTTTTATTTTAGCTGTAAAATCTCATTATTATTACAGTGTGTTCAATTAAAGTAGGCAAAATTGTTGCACCTTACTAGTTCTTGTTAATTAGTAATTATACCGTAAGCCGCCGCGGAAAAAGAATAGTGGACTCTAACGCCAATTCCATTTCAATATTTATACATAGTGTTACACCAGTTTTTATTAAATACATCAAAGTTACAGTAATGGCTGTACAAATACAATCATTGATCATTATTTATTTTTTATCTGTCCACACTTGAGAGTAAAAAATATGGCGCTCGGCTAATCTTGTATCAATATTTGTTGTGAGTAATTTGAATAATTACTTCTCGAATAAAATTAGATGCTGACAAGCGCTTAAATTATATTAATGAATGAAAAACTGTAATTACGAAGAAAATGATTTTTTATAATGTACTGGGTAACTTTAAATCACTTTGACAGGTACGTTTTTAAATGTTTTTGTAATAAAACAAGGTAATAAAAATACTATAATTTTCATGCAATAATTCTTTCAAGATATAGTATAAATAAACATAAATGAGTTACATTGCCATTGTATGTTAAAAAATTACCACTTAATTATTTTAATTTCATTTTCTACATTGTAATTGCCTAGTTACAGAAATATTAATATTTTATCTTTTTCTTTGAATTTTATTACCTATTTTAATTTTTTGTAGTTCATTAAACATTTTAAAACCATATGAGTAGGCTGTGGTTGTAATGTCTTTGATTTATTCGTGTTAACG